AGGGCCCTTTTCCGGTTTCAGTAGCACTGACTGCTATCGAAAACAACACACGAGAGTGCCCAAAACGCGTGCACGACGGAATGGATCGCGGTCCATGACGTTGTCCAAGGGCATGGCAGGAACGATATCGTCGTTCCCCTTTTGCGGCGGAAAAAATGTGGGGGCCCCATGGACATGCGGCCGAACCATCGATTGGCCCACATCCAATAGGGTGTGAAACAACTTAATTTACAAGGAGAGCTGTCGACATCAGTATCAAATCTACCCATCTTGGCATTGGCAGTCATTCTAACCTCTGGACTACCAATATTGCCCGAAAAAAAACAAAAAAAGCATGCAAAGCAACAGCCCCCCATGTTACAATACGCCGAACAAATCAAGTGCTATTGTTGTCGACACATTTCACAAAAGAATCGATGATAAGCTCGTTGTAGCCAAACCGATTCCCTATGATATGAACTAGCTTGACACCACTGCATCTTATCGTATCGAATGGTACCAAATCTTATCTTATCTTGTGTTGAGTTATGTCGTGCCATGCAATGTCATGTCATCTCATGTCATGTAATGTAATGTTACGTCAGGTTATCTCACCTGTCGCCTTCCCTGGCGGCCTTGATTAGATTTTGCGTCGCCTTGTGCTTCTCCAGGCCCTAGACGCCAAAAAAAAAAAACGCATGAAGCATATTGTCAAACAACCTGCACAGAGCAGCGAATCCAGTACCCCCAAAGAATTCTGTAGGTTGACAAGTAGTTGCCTACCTGTCGAGCCACGAAGAATAGGAACGAACGTCGAAGACATACAGCTATTCTAAGGCAAGTTACGGAATGATGGAACAAACTGCAGAGGAAATAACGAGACCGTGAATCAACTCAACCGGCTGGATCCAGAAGAGCAGAAAATATCAACAAGGTTTGAACATTCTGCAGCCATGTGAATGTACTGGTCGCTGATGTGATACACTCGACCATCGCGTAGGCACAGATATGGACATTCACGACACGGGTACAGCGGGCGCAGCAACTTTGACGTGAGCAGGGTTGAGAGCGATGCGTGCACTTGGAGGAAGAGACGTTTTCATGCCCTTCTTGCGGAAACGGACGAAAGGGTTAGGCTTGTCAGCATGATGTTCACACTGAAACGTTCGTTCACTGCAGGTCGGGACATTGTTGCCAATGAAAGCTGTCGGCCGACTTAATGCCAGGGCAATGAATCTCTTGAAGGAGAGGTCTCAGCGGGGCTCACTCAACGACTACGGCATCATCCACTGCGACGGCCACGACAAGAACCACAACAATCACTATTGACATAACCCCACAGCAGCAGCAGCAGCAGCAGCAGCAGCAGCAGCAGCAGTAGCATCAACGACAGCAACCAACAGCAGCGGCAGCAGCATCAACAACAGCCATCAATGGCAGCAGGCCCGCACCACACCTCGTTCAGCTCGTCCTCCGAGATGTCCGCCAACACCGAAGCGTCGGCATGTCTGGCGAATTCCAGCGCGCTCGCAAGTTGGGTCAAGCAGTAGGCGCCCTCCCCCATGCCCTCCGCGCCCGCTCGCATATAGTAGTGGGTGAACCACAGCCGCGACGCCAGACGGGGAGGGTTTGACTAGGGTCCCCCGGAGAGAAAATAACAAAAAAGACGACACCAGACAGCAAAAACAAAAGTGTGAACAACCTTCACAGGCGGCCTGCGTCTCACCAAACGGGGAGGAATCAATGGCACCCCGGGTAGTGCAAGGAAGGCGCTATAGTACCCAACCCTGGGAAGTGGTCTGGATGTCGTCAAAAAGCGTTCGATGTTGATGCTGGATGGGCAGTAATCGACGGCATTGCCAGCAATGCGCTTCTTTCTTTGTTGTGCAATCACAGTACATACATTACCATCAAGTGACGTCCCTACCCAGTACCCCCTCCGCAAAATGCCGCCGCAAACGAAATGAAATCCCGTGGCCAAACACCGCCCCCAACATGACGCCCCCCCCCCCTTCCCCCCCAAAAGGGTACAAGGGTCAATGCCCGTCGATTGGGAACGTCAAGGCACTGGTATATTGTACAGTCGAGGGCCCGCTGTAGTGCGGGTATGTGCCAAGCCACAATACCCGCACTGTAGCGGGCACCCGCACTATCAGATTTCGGCCCTGAATAGTGCGGGAAGGCGCACTATTCGGGTCCTCAGAACCCTGAATAGAGCGCCTTTCCGCACTATTCGCGAAATCACTAGGACAAAGCATGTACGCAACAAGCGCGGGACAGAATAAGACGTGTGGCCTTTCTAGCAGCGTGTAGACGCCTGCGATTCGTGGGTGAGAGAAGAACACCCAATTCAGCGGTGGAACCACATCCATCCGTCCATGGTAGAGCAGATCGCAGCTACACACTTGGTGCATGACATGTACATCGCGAGAGCATGTTTGTGTCCGAAGTTATGTCTCAGCCAGTGCTGTTGCCCCAATCCACTGTATGCGTACGTTGGATACCCTTGAATCATTTTATATTATTGAGAGGCTAGCATTTAGACGCCAAGCGCTTCGTGTACATTAGAAAAGGGAACACACACGCACACACAACCGAGGAACTTGAAAAACAACTTTCAGAACCACTCAGAACTCGCGCCGATACCCACCCACAGGTGTGAAAAGCAAATGGGGGAACACTTCAAAAGCAGAGACGACACAAGCGAGGACCCAGCTTCTCAGCTCCTTCGACAAAATGTATCGACAACATTTGTGTGGGGCTGCGTGGGGTGACACACGAAGGAAGAACAAAGCGGCAAAAATCCGCAAAAAATTAGCCCACGTTCCACACATGTACTGCTGTGATGCGGTAGGGGTAGGTGTATGTGTGTGTGTGTCGAATGATGTGGTTTCGCCGCACTCAGGGCGGATTGACGTCAGAACCCGCACTATAGAGGGTCTGGAAAGGGACCAAACCCGCACTATGGAGGGGTTTCCCGAATAGTGCGGCACCCGCACTATAGCGGGCACCCGCACGATATAACCCGCACTATAGCGAACCCTCGACTGTAGTTTGTATATACCTGAACGACGACCCAGGTCAGGGCGGGTAGTATGTCGTCGGCGCCACACGCCACAGGTTTCAACCCTCCCGACCTTGAAGACGGGTCTAGCTCTCGCTGCCTGTTTGGGAGGGAGGAACACAAAAAGCACCGTGCTAATTTCTCGTTTGGGAAGTTGACGATTTTTTTTTTTTGTCTTCACTTCAAATCAGCGCTCACAGCACTGGTGCCATTTATTCCGACCCGTGGTCACACAGAAGAGCCCCTCTCTTCCCTCACCTCCTGCGGTAGTTTGCCTTCAATTTTTATGCGAGAACAGTTCAGCGCTCCCTTCCCTCTGTGTACACACGAACTAGTGCTATCCACCAGGCCAGGGGCGGAAGCGAGAGGAAAACTCACTTTGCAAGAAAAGCTCGCTTACGCCGGGATTCGAACCCCTGACCTGACCCCTAGAAGGTTTCGAGGTAACCACCTAGACCACCGGGCCGACGATACGTAGCACGAGAAAATAATCCTAGGAATAGTTACATGCTTCATCTGCTACCTTTTCTGCCTTCAATCCGGAGAATAGCGGGGTCATGGCCATTAGAAGCGTTTCGCATTTTGGCCTCACGCAAACGACGTGTTGTCATTGGTCAGCAGGCGGTTAGCGCGATGGATAGAACGAAAAAAGACCCAAACACACGCACGCACGCATACCTCTTTACAAGCGAAGCTTCCACGCTAAGCGCGACGAGCTTGACGCACGCCTTGACGCAGTCCAGCATGTCCAAAGGGCACCGGTACTCTACCAGCCGACACAGCTCCCCCTGGGCCAGCTCCCACTCTCTCCCGTAAGAACCAGCGGACTCGACATCTGGGTATTGCCAAGGTTAACAATATGTTTCGTCCCATCCATGTTGGGCGTCAAATTGTACACTATCCAGGGCATGCTTTTCGGACAAATCAACCGGGGCAACCCAGGGGTAGGACTACGCAGGAAGGATTTCATCTTTGAATCCTTGTTCCCTTCTTTCTTTTGGCGGCGACAAGTGTTTGCCTTGCGTGCAAAGGAGGGCGCGGATGGTGTGTGTAGGTCGTAAGCTGCTGCCTCTGCACGTCACGGGAAAAGTGAGTGACAGACTTTTCCCGCCCACGATAGCCGGCCACCCCGATGGTTCCGGTTCTCGTCAGAGCCTTCTGACTCCCTAGACTACGGGTTCACATGAATCTCTATAGTGGCAAATCGCAATCTAGAGATAGAAAGCGGACCCAGACGTGAAAAGCACACCAAAGGAGGGAACGGATTGAATGCTGAATGAACCCTTGTCTCGTTAAACAATCGAAGGTACGCATGGCAAGAGGGGAGAGAGGCACAGAAGTAAAAGCACCGGTGTTCATCTTCCTCCTCCTGCGTGAACTCGGCCAGAATGCGTCAGAACACGTATATACCCCGGTGTACACCGGCGACCAAAATAGGCGGAACAGTAGTGACAACTTAGCCGCAAACATTCACCTAACCCCTTTGCCCCCACCTGTGTCTTTGAGAGAGTCCACACACCAATGCCGAGGGCGCAGGAACCGGAGAGACGCCAACTTAGCGGCCAACTCCTCGTCACCGCGGCCGTAGACAGGTGCGGACGTCAAACAGCGGTCGAACACCTAAAAAAACGAAAGGGGAGACGTGCACGAAGAGTTAGCAGGTACTACGGTCCGTGGGAGGGGCGGGTGTGCTCATCTTGCGCAAGCCTGAGCTGTTAGACCATAGAGGGGGTGGGGGGATGACATCTGCGGGGCAGGAAGAGGGTTGGGAGGTTGGGGGGTTGACACCGATCGCGGTCATCCTGGCGACAGGTGGTGCTTGCCTCTCTACCCACCCTACGCGGATACCGTACACAGGGGCCTGGTCGTTTGGCTGTCGCAGTGACATGGAGAAGCCTCGAACACGACTCTATACCGCCGGGAGCAAGAACAACAACAGAGACAACCACAACGGAGAAGAGGACGGCAACATTACACCTCACTTGGGGGCGTAAACTGAAGCACCCCCGTCAGGTCCTGTGGAAGAGAAAAAGAAGGACCCTCGCCTGATGCTCGACGTCATGGCTGCGCTGCCACCAACGAGGTGCTGCTTCGTATGGGTTCCTCTTGTACCTGCTGCAGAATCTATGAGATGAGCCTTGTTGTCCTATTGGCGGATCTAGAGTATCTACGAATTTTCGTCTACATGCAGACCTGTCCCTGCTCGCCGCTTGCCTGTTCGAATATGTGTCTCTCGAGATGCTGCTTCACGTCCGTCCACTGCAGCTCTCCCATTGCCGGCAACCCGCCACCCGCACGGTGATTGTTGTTGAAAATACCAACCTGAAACCAACGGAACGGGATAAAGATCAAAGGAGAAAACCATAGGGAAAATTAATGAAAATACCAACCTCAAATCAACAAAAAATGGAATTTAGACAAAAACAGAGAATAGCACCGTGGTGTAGCCTGAGGGCTGGAAACTTGTTAGTGGTTTCGCTAGTAGCAATGATTTCGTGTCTACCTCCAACCACAACCCAAAAACTGTTGTACTGGCGAGTGCAAGCAGGTCGCCCGCGCTAGCGTGTATGCGGCGGTCCATCTAACAGCATCACGCGCCTCCCTCCCACAAACAACTCAAAAACGACCTGAACAAACGCGCTGCCTCGTGACAATCTTGAGTCCACGTAGCGGTCCTTAAACTATTTATCAACAAGCATGACAATTCCCCTCACGTCAGGCAACTCCTGCTCCAGCCAACGAATGAGCGACCACAGCATCACCGCCGGCCCCTGAACGTCCGCGCCCTGATCTTGCTGTTCGCTTCCGGTCTGCCAATGAGAAAACAAAGGACGCACGCACAGCATGACAACATATTTGAACGAATGATGCGCTGCATTGATGATTTTGTGATTATTATGGCACAACCAGCAGAACCGAACCACGGTAGTCAGGACAAGCACAATATAAAAAACGACCATGGTACCTCATCACTCCATAGTCTCCTGCTCTAGCATATCAATGTCGACGGAGACAGAGAGTGCAAAAAAGGACAGTGGGAATCAAAATGCCCAGCAACACTCCTGAATACCACACCTCTGCTCGCGAATCGCTGACATCCGTTTCCTCCAACAGCACAAGCCAAAAAAGGGATGCACATAAAATTAAGAATGTATCCGCCCATTACGGATGCTTTTGTTCTTAGCTCCAACTGGCATTACTGATAACTCAGTGCTAGGCATATACAAACTCATAATTAGCCAAGTCTTCAGTTGGTTTCAATCCACTTATTGAAAAGACTTCACCACATCCCTTTCGACTGAGGTTTTCTCTCGAACGGGTTGTCTTTCTGAGAGGTTATGTTTACTTTCTAAAAAAAGGGATGAGCAAACAAAACAAACAGACGGCGAGCGACAACACCAAAAGAGAACAACAACACAAGTTGAGAAAAGGCGAAAGAAAACAGACAGAAAAAATATGACACGTCACCGACGCTTCTCGCCTGTGGTTCGGCAACCATGGCCCGTAGGTCCTGTTCGCGGAACGCCGACATCCACTCCTCCACCTGCTTCCTCAGCTTTCCCGCCAGGGGATGACGAAGCTTTTGCTCGAACGTCTCACGAGAGATCTTCTCCCGAACCTTCAAAATCAAAAAGAGAAATAAAAAAAAGGAATTCAGCAAGAATAATAAAAAGTGCTTAGTTCATGGTTGCCGAAGGGGGTTGGTTTCTCGAGAGCGAGGACGCCAACGGCCTACAGGGCAGAACTGCCACCCCAACCCACGCAAATAACCTGGGTCCCCCGTGCCATGCTGATGGGACGGGACGACAGTGCAGTTGACGCTTCCGGCAGAACGAAACAAACAGTACCAAAACCCACCGGTAGGAGTCTGACCGGTTCTTCAGGCACGAAACGGGCAACAACACGGCGAAAACCGCATGGTACATCAATACCTGGGTTTCCATGTGATGCTGATGGAATATGGTGTCCCACGAGTCCACGAACTCCAGGGCCATGGGCCTCTCCCGGGTGTTGATGAGCTGCACCACGTTGGCGAAGGACAGCCCTTGCGTGCGAACGCCGTTAACCGAGACGAGGACCGATCCCACGCACGGTCTTCGTACCACCTTGGGCTTGCCGACCGTGCTGCCCGTTCCGGTAGACCTCGCAGACAGCTCTGCAGTTTGATCGTGTGGGGGAAGAGGGCATGCACATGCTCTTGTTGCTTGCGTTGTCGGGCGCTTGGCCACAGACCCACGCATGCCTTCCGAGACAGAGAACCGATGCCGCTCCAACTAGAGGCACCTCCAATTGAGGAGCTCTGCGCGGTTTATTCTCTGAGTGTTTCCCAACAAATTGCTGTGTTGGCTTGCTTGGAGGGGGGGGGATGGGAACCAATATTATTTGGTGAGGAAAATGTGGGTGAACAGGTTCTGAACGTAGGGTATTCCAGAGAGCAGTGAATGGTGCGTTACTAAAAATGTGCACTTTCGCTTCAAAGGCACACCTCTGCTAAACACACGACCCTCAACGCCGTAACCATCCGCTTCCTGCCGGCTGTAAAAACGTCTCTAGCCCCACCAAGAGACGCACCCCTCTGACCCACCTGCGGTATAGCCCTCCTCAGCGTCCTCATCCGCGGGTCCCCCTTCGCCCTTTCCACCAGCGTGCCCCTTCCCGCTCCCGTCCAACTCCTCGTCCTCATCGGCACCCCAGCCGCCACCGCCACGCTTCGACCGATCACCTCCGCGCGCTCCTCTCCCCGGCAGCCCCGCAGAATCACCATCTGCGCCGCCCATACCCCCCCCCTTCGGGCTTGTCTGCTCCCCCTCCTCCGTGGCGTCGGCGCTGGTGGGGGACGTGGAGTGCTCGTCGAACAGGCGGAAGTTGGAGGGCACGGCCATGCGGTTCAACCTCCCCCTCAAGACCTGCATCTTGGCGGTGATACTGTCCGGTTCCTTCCTCTCGCCATCCTTCTTGGGCCCTTTCTCCTTCCCCCCCTTCTCTTTTGCCTCGTCTCCACTCCCTTCCCCACTTTCTTCTCCCGCTTCTTCTTCCTCCGTCGCTCCCGTATCGCCGCTTTCCAATCTGCTGCCGTCCCCCTCTTCCTCCGTCTCGGCTCCCAGCTCCACCACCACTATGTCCTTGCCGCCCTTGCCTTTCCCTGGCCCAGCCCCTGCTGCTGCTTCTACTGCAGGCTGTGCTCCAAGAGCTGAAGACGACGCAGGCGACGATGACAATGAGATCTCCACCCCATCATCGCCTTTGCCCTTCTCGCTGCCCTGGCTATCTCCCCCCTTCTCGCCGGCGGCATCGTCTCCCGCCGCCCCGGAGCTCGACTCCGGGACCTTTCCCAGGACGGGTTCTTGGGCCGATCCCGTCGATCCCTTGCCTTTCTTCCCGTTGGAGATTGCCTCGCCGTCTTCCGGAGATCGCTGTTCGCCTCGAGCATCGTCGCTCTGCCCTGCGGAGCGGCAACGACAAGCGAAAGCCACCGTACAAGAGCGTGATACAGCCGTTACATGAGTAAAAAAAGTGTGGCACGGTGGCCAAAAATACCTCGGGAGGGAAGTAGTACTATTATATTCTATGGCGCCTTTGATGGAAAATCGAAGGCAGCCATCGAGTTTCCTTCCCAAGCATGTGCGCTCATGCTTCAAGCTGCGGTTGCTCCGTTTACGTGCGCGTCAACCCTGCTGCTCGCGAGGATGTAGAGGGATCTCGGAGTGTTCAGTACGCCATGGAGGATTAGCGTCGAAATATCGGCGGGAGCGAAACACATCTCTTCCGCTCATTGTCGTTGCCGCGGGTAACAGATGCCAGGGCCCACCCCACTGCGGGGTGTTCAGCATTATGCTGCTGTTATCTCGTACAGGGGAAAAAAAAAAAGTCCGACACGGTGTACTCTCCCCTATGATTACAAGTAGATAAACTGATGGCGGATCGTCGAGAAAGGTACGACAACCCCCAAGGGTATCACTGTTGTGCTTTTTCCGCGAGGTTTTGCTAGGGGGAGACATTCGGCACGAAACTCGGTGTTGTATCTCTGACGTCGACGATACAACAGGTGCCGTTTCGGCCTCCCCCCAGGTCTCATGACTTGACTTTCGCTGTTCTTGGAAGAAAATCAAGGATGCCTGCAAAGTCTCCACCCAAGAGTCCTCGCTCTTTTTTTCCCAGCAATGAAATATGCAATTCAACACTCCGTGACAGCAGTACATCTCACAACTTTGAACCACGCCATACCACACACCAAAAATCAGAACACCGTCACGTCCCAAACACCGCACGCATATTAGCATCACGAACCGGTTTTCAGCGGGTCTACCGTGACCAGCAGTCGCTTGAAACGGCTCTCCAAGAAGTCGCCCCACGCCTCCACGTCGAGGGACACGTACTCTCCTTCCCCTCCTCCAACCTCCATGTCAAGGTAGCTGAAAGAACAAATGAGGGGGGGGGGGGGGGGGGGGGGGNGGGGGGGGGGGGGGGGGGGGGGGGGGGGGGGGGGGGGGGGGGGGGGGGGGGGGGGGGGGGGGGGGGGGGTGCCGCAGAATCACATCAGATTGTTTTTTGCGCTGGGCTCGAAGACAACCTCGCCTCGATAATCACGGCAATGTATGCTGGGAGTGGAGTCCCAGCCTTGCACACATCCTCTTCAGACAGGACGAAGTAAGAACGTGTACAGAACATAGCTGTAGATGTGGATGTGGATGCCCTCGAGTGAAACGCTGCTTAAAATGCCGGCCCTACTCTGGTGTCCTCAACCACCTCAAAAAAACACCCCCAAAGCGCGACCCTTCGTAAACAAATGCTCTCGTCATGGAAGTGGACCTCTGAGTCAGTTAACCTCCCTGTTATTGAGTTTTTTCGCACCTGACTCGCACGCCAGGGTTGTCTTCCCCCAGGCCTAACCGCACGCTGAGGCCTTTCATGAAGGCACTCACGGCGACACTTGGGTCCGCGGCTTCATCGCTTGAGGCCGCAGGAGCTGGCTTCCATCTCCACAGCTTCTTCACCTAACCATCATAGCCATTCCGTGGATATGCACCGTAGCATGGTGTTTGAAACGGAACAAAGAGTCACAGTCGAGCATGAAAGAAAAACCACACCAAATACTCGTGAAGACAAGGACCGGCGCATCGGCCGGTCACCAGCCCGACGGATAGACCAACAGACCGGTCGACAAAACCCAACAGACCGGTGAACAGACGCACACCCTGGGGACTCAACATACATCAACCGGAACATCAGGTCGACCGTAAACACCGACAGTCCAAACAAAGGCCCCCGACCGAGTCTCACCCCTTCTCCGAAGAGCTGGGAGCACTGCACGATGCACTTCACTGTGACGTCATAGTCGGACTGGCTGTCCATCATGGACGACGTCTCCGTACCCATGCCGCCCCCGGCCCCGCCACTCCCCCCATAGATGGTCTGCAGGTCGTCGGCCCCCCTCCCGGCGATGCTGCCACCGCCCAGCGTGCCAAGGCGGGCTAGTGATAGCTCGTCGAAGGCGCTGGGTTCGGGGGACACCTGGGCGAGAGCATGGGCATCGGAATAGATATTGGGCAAGGGCCTCGAAACAGCCCGAAACGGAACTTGGGGTCTTATCCAGTGAAGCATTTGTGTGTTGACTCGATGTGTTTTGGGTGCAGGAACAACAACAACAACAACAACCACAACAACAACAACAGCAGCAGCAGCAGCAGCAGCAGCAGCAGCAACGACCGCAAACACTCTGACCAGTCGTACCTCGACCGGTAGTCCATCTATCTCCTCCTCGGAGCCACCATCGTCCTGTCCGAACCGTCAAACCATTACCACGGTCGACAGCCGGAGGCCACCCAGCGGACAAGCAACAAACAGAAAACAACACTGAGGGGCGGGAGCGTGGGGCGTGGGACCCTCTCGAAACCTTCATCAAAGCCCACAACAGTGGCGTGGGTGTGCCTTAAGTGCTGCTCGTGATTATGAAGCCCGTTATCCAACCGGATTGCAGCAGGGCATGGCGCACAGAGGCAATCCAAAAATAGTTTCTTCGGGGAGATATGTGAAGAATTGGAAGCACTGGCTTCAGCACCAAGCTCGCCAGCAGCCAAGCCATGCAGCTGCCGCGATCGACACAGCTACCACCACCAACAACAACGACAACAACAACAAGCAACAACAAACAACACAACAGCAAAAGAACGACACGCGTCGCACCTCCCCATCTTCTCCTCTGCTATCCTGAGTCCCATCAGGGTCATAGCCCTGTAGGCCGCCAACGATAGGAATCTTGTGCATCTCTCGAAGCTGAATACCCAGTCTCCTCCCATGAAAAAGCACCGTGTATGGCTTCTCCGCTGCAAAGCAAAACCGAACAAGATGGGACAGCACGGCAGAGAAGAAAAGAAAACGCGCGGGGAGGGGTGAGGGCCATGGGGAGGGGGGGGGGGGGCGATCATCCCCCTTCACATGCAGGCCAGTCGAGTTCGTGTCGTGCTCGTGTTGGAGGGCGAAACACGCTGAGAAACACAATGCATGCGACCCAACTTGCGAGGAAGGGGGCTGGAAACATCGATTTCTACTCGAAGAAGACCCTTGACTGCAAGTGCTTGTAACCTTCACTATGAGGCAGGGAGGGCTGAATCGCGTTGAGAACAGCGAGGGTTTGGGACCGAAAGCACTCGGCGCGACAAAACTAGGTCGGCCAATAACACGTCACTCGAAGTCCGGCGTGACTGACATCACCCCAAGCAAGCAGCGCGACACAAAACAGACACAGCATCGTCTTAGGGCAAAAAGCCAGAGAGAACCTCGTTGAGGGTTTGGGATCGGATAGAGAGAGGGCAAAAAGTCTTGAGAAAACATCATGAAAATGGTTCGACGGTAGAGAGGAGGCGAAAACTTACCGGCGGCACGACGACCGGCAGTCAAAGCCACCTCCGCTGCCGCAGGATCAGTCACACCCGCCACCGGCTTGTCTCCCGAGCCGCCATGATCACCGTCCCCAGACTGCTTCTCCTCCGAAGACACCTCTTGTTCCGGGACCCCCCCACCCCCCTGTTCGGTCGACGACGGGGCCCCGTCGTCCTGCTTGACTTCTGCCACGTCGTCGCTGTCCTTTCCCGACCCTTCCTCCTCGTCCGGTGGTGCGGAGTCTACAGCCGACTCCTTCTTCTCCGCCGTGTCCGTATCGCCGTCCTCGCTCTTGTCCTTGCTGTCCTCGCCCTCCTTGCTCGTGGTCTTGTCGATTTCATCGGTGGAAGGTGGCGACTGCTGCTTTGCTTCCTTGCAGGAGGAGGGCGACGGCCGCTGCTGCTTCCCTTCCTCCTCCTCCTTCTTGTCTCCTTGCCACACAACTCTAAGCTGTTCCAGCCACTTTGCGTGAACCACGTCTTGAAAGAAGCAACCAAATAACCAAAACACACGATAGAAGCACCCGCAAGGCAGGTAATGGGAAATGGCGGCGGCAGGATTGGCATGTGACCGTTCGTGAGCATTGACACGGCAGTAGCGGGCATTCGGGCCTAGCGTGAGTATGCGAAGCGTGTAGCGTAGGTAATGAACCCTCGATGGGGTGCCCACGCCTGAACCAAAAGTCTCTTGCTCCTTTCCCTACCTGACCATAAAATCAAACGCCAGGTTTCCAACAAAGAGCGCGGATTCAGGAAACGATCAAAACGCTGCCACACCCTCGTAATGTGATCCTTTCCGATCTCTCGCCATCCTCCCTCGCGCCGACCCCAACGCCGACGGCGGCTCAACGGCAACATCACCATCGAAATAGAGAGCACAAATGCCCTCTTTCGGGACTACCCCCCCGCGGGCAAACAAAACCATCACTATCTGTTGTGTCGCTCTTACAAGCGGGGCGTCGTTACCCCATCACTCACCATCCTCTCTGATGCTAACCGCACCGGGTGACGGCGGCCCTTCCACTCCGGGGACACCAGCGCCCCATCCCCCCCCCTTCCCTACACCACCTCCTCCCGACGCGTTGGACAAAGACGACGGTCGACCACCCCTCCCCCCTCCCGCACTGAACGAAGTGCTCCCGCTGACCACGCTGCCTTCATTCTCCCTATTTGCGGCGTGGGTCGCTGCCACAACTGCCGCTGTGTTGGTGTTGCCACCCATGGAACGAATCAGCCATCGCACCGTCCGGTCTTGTATGCGTCCCTGAGTCAGGCATCAGGATCAGCGTGGAATGGGGTCATATTACCATACAAAAGGATCTCTATCCAAAGATGACCAGTCCAGGATACAACATAGCGCTGACTTTCGAGTAATTAGTAGACCTTTTCGGCTGAGTGCACCAAACAAAATAACCAACGGCGTAGAGCGGACCTCAGACTAGATGGGAAAGAAAACACACGTAGACACATATTTCGTACGTGGACACGAACAAACAACGGAGAGGTCACTTGCTCACCCACTGCTTTGGAGGGATGCCTGCCGGGTAGTCAACAAAACCGAAACCGCCGACGATAGAGCCCGACCATGATCCGCTGCGGGCTGACTCGACGGTAACGTGAGACATGGCACTAGACTCCTCTAGGTCCCCAGACATCTTCGAGCCAAGAGCGAGAGGCGTGCAGCACGATTGAGCGGACAGCATCAGCATCAGCATCATTATCAGCAGCGGCAGCGGCAGCAGCAGCAGTATCAATAGCAGCAGCGGTAGCAGCAGCAGCAGCAGCATCATGTCATCATCAGCAGCAGCTGCAACAGCGCCGCCAACACCAGCAAAACCAACAACAGACAAATCACAACCGCACCCAACAGCAAAAAAGCACAGCATCTCTCGGCACAACAACAACAAAACACCCGCCGGAAGAGCAAACGGAACAAAGGTAGCCCCTTACATACGGGCCCTTTGGTCTTCTGCCTTCCTTCAGTCCGTCCAGACCAGCGCCGGCACCCTCCTGCCCGATGGGAATGCCAGCCCCTCCGATTGTGAGATCTTCCTCCAGTACCAGATCTCCGGCAGCCTCTCCCTGTATTACTCGTTTTACCTGCATCACGATAGAATTTAGGCGCCGTTTTAGCAACAACACACAGGAAAGACGAAATGGCTATTGAAAAAAAAAAGAAGGAAAATTGGCCAACAAAAAAAACAACGGTGTGGGCCCTCATCGTGTACATGGAAAAAAGAAAAAATATGTCGGAGTGTACTTTTCGGCTGCCTGCTCAGCACATCCAACTGCTGTTGTTGTGAACCGCATCCGTGCCCAGTGGCGTGCATGTCAACCGAGCTTCAAGATCGCCACTGACTAGGCTTCAATATCACAACCAAGGCATACCCAGGACGTGGCACACGTGCAACCCTGGCGAACTGACCTCCCTCGTGAGGTAGATGTACTCCCCAAGAAACTTGTGGCACTTGGACAGCTGTATGGAGTTGGAAGAGCCAACAGAGGAGCGCATCGCTTCGAGGACGGGCTGAGAAGCAAACCAAGAGAAGGTAGCAAACACGCACAGAGGCACACACAATCGAACAATGGGAGGAGTCAACGCGGTAGTGGTCAGACTCAGCGAAAAGGGCACTTGGCGTGAAAACAAAGGCGAGCACGTGGAGTTCCGGCAACATCTCCCTTGAGTTCGATCCCCCCGCCGGTAAAGGTGGGACACACCCGCTAGATCTAACGACCTACCCCGCTCCCCCCCAAAAAACAGCCCTTACGTCCATACCACGCTGCGTCTTGCACCTCGACCCGAACAACCAACGAAATCAAAGCACACACCCACACATCGCGATGTGCATTTCCAAACTTTGGGTCCATTCCCATGGACCTGGTGTACCCGCTCGTCTTCTCATTGGTCAACCGGATCGACGCTACTTCCAAAAACACACAGACGCCCATCGCGAACGCAACACACACAGGCCACGCCTCGCCGGTGCTCACCACTCTACCGCTCGTCTTCTTCCCGTACCCCCCCTCCTCGGCTCCGCCGCCGCCCCCCCCGTCTTTGCTCTGTCGCAGCTGCACGGCGCCGTGGGCCTTAACGTACTTCTCCGCCTGGACGAACCACCGCTTGACGGACAGAGCGTAACCCCGCACGCACCCCTCCCGAATCTCCTTTGCGTAGGACTGCAACAACCACACAGCCACAAAAGGAGCGAACAGACCGGCGCGAGGCGTTTTGGTACCCGTTGGGGACAACGGTTGGGGACAACGCCCAAAGATTTGCTGACGTGAGGTTAAGCAAAGTCTGGTCGAATCTAGTAAGGGAAGGGAGAGGCCGCAATGCCAGCAGTAGTTACCATTTGCGGCGATAACAAATAACCAATGGGGCTTCGCTTCTACATATCATAACGAGTGAGCAGCTCCGGACTTGAGAAAAAACTCTCCAGTAGCTCCTGACCACCCTTGTCTCGAGGTTACGTAATCGTATTCGGCGCAAGGAATCGAAGAGAAATCCAGGGTCGCATGCTATATCAAGTTCAGGGGAGAAGGGAGGGCACATGGCATTACTTGTTTGGATCGGACACGTGGGGAGCATGCAGGAAGGGGCTAAGACGATCAGGAAACTGACCACCAAATCACGGGGCCACATTGGTACAGAACATAATATGAACATGATACAAAAAAAATGCATACGTAACAGTTTCGGGTGCACCTCATTCGGACGCCCCCCTACACGCTTCCAACCTCAACATGAGGCTCTGGAACCAAGAAGCTAGGGCCAAAAAAAATAGGCACGTGGCTGGCAGTGCGGGGACAGCAAGAAGGTACCACACGCGGGCACAGCTAAAACTACTACAAGCAGGCTCACCGAGGGCTTGTAGAAGAGGGTACCGCAGAAAACTGCGAGGGAGCATCCGAAACCGTCATACTTCATCACCCATCTCACCGCTACCACGAACCCTGCATGTCCAACGGTTCACACACAGGAGGAACAGGAGAGAGTCCAACAGATGTGACTGTCTCGCTGATGGAAGAAACGCGAGGTGGTCCATCGAGGCGAGGCTATTATTGCCCCCCCCTTCAAGACCGTGTCCATGTAGTCCCGGAATGTCCGTGGTACAAGGAAGAAGAGGGAAGTGTACGTGACTGAGCTGGGAAAAACAGATGGGCCGTACAGGGAGATGTTTGAGGCATGGAATAGCGAGGAAAGGACAGTAGCTGTACTGGGGCATAGGAGGTGGGTTGAAAAGGCGGGGAGGGATATCGTTAGGATAGACAGACTAGGGAAAACATTTTTGAGCCACCTTTGGCAAAGTAGAAAGGAACGATTGGCCATCGGTGATCGGTCCTGTGGGAACAATGCTCCGTCCTCTCCAGGACGTGTGGTCAATGGTCTAACCGCTAAGGCACGCAAAACATAAGAGTGCGCCCCCCCCCCCCCCCCCCCCCCCCCC